ACCAATAATAGACACGTACGGCAAGAGCCGTGCGAGAAAGAGATGCCAGATAGCAGTGTGCGGCGAAGAAATGAAGGCATTTGAAAACGGCACAAAACACAAAAGTCAATGAATAAGCAGCCAGTGCAAGTAAAGCAAATTTGCTAAAGACAATGGGACTTTTGAGGGGAGTTCGAAGAGGGAAGAAGAGGAACTGCACTTAAAGAAAGAAAAGGTGGTTCTAAGGGCATACCATAATATTCATTCACCCACTTGAAAGTATTTCGAGTACTTAGTTTTTGTTTGATTTGAAAGACAAGAGCTTTGATCGTTGATGAGCCAGTTAATTCTTTAAAACATTGAATGCAGTGTTTTTTTTTAGTGTATAGAGTATAGGAAGGGGGGAAGTACGCCCAAGCATGGCTCGATGCGACACACATGGCATAAGAAAACAATATGGCAAAACAATTTAGATAAGTTCAAACAACTGCCGTTCCCCCAAAGCCTCTTTCCCCCTCTTTCCCCTTCTTTCCTGGGCTTCCTAGAAAACGCCTCGGAATGAAAATGTTTTTCTTGGCTAGGAATGCCTGGCCTGCAGGGCGAAAACTAAGAGAAAGTCGGTGAAGTGAGTGCTCGCCATGTTATAATAATAGTTGCGCTCCCCGCTCCTTTCTCCTCCATTCCCATTCCCATTCGCCTTTCATCTTTTCCGCCGTGTGCTGCGATCGTTAATCACCGCCGGGGGTTAAGGGGCCGCACGGGGGTTAAGGGGGTCGCATGGGGGGCTATGAGAAAGGAAAGGGAGGGGAAGTGCGTGCCATCCTGCAAGATCCCATCTCGAAACTCGCCCACGTCATCGTCCCCGGGTCCTTGTGTATATTTGTCATGACATTGCAGTTTTAAGTTAAGTTGCCATGGAATTTTCATTTTCCCCGGCGAGTTCCAAAAATATTTATGGCTGGAAAAGGGGGGGCGTGGCAAGTCGGGGGAGGCGGCGACGGGAATGCCACCAAGGAAGTGTAAAAGGAAGCGCTGACAGACAAGCCCCAAGTAATTTGACCAAGTTCAAAGTAATGTTTTGAGTGCCAGCAATAAAAAATGAAATATTGAGATTAAGTTGGATGCCCCAATAGTCGCAGGCTGTGTTACCCTGTAACAAAAAAAAACTGAGACGCATTTCGGAATTTTTTTACGATTTCCCAGTACGTTTTCTTACCGAGATTTTTTATGCCTCTCGATCGGAGGCCATAAAAATACGCAGTTTTTATTTTTTTTTTTTTTTGGTTTGTGTGCTTAGGCAATGCTTTTATTTTATGAGCCAATTGAGTGATATGAGCCATTCGCTCAGTGTCCAAGTTTTGCAGGGTAATGTGATGAGTACCCAAAAAAAAAAAAGAAGCAGATGGGAAACTGCATTCATTCCTTAATGTTCCCCAACAGCTTGTCAAGTCTTTGTTTTTCTTGTTGCCCTTTTGTTGTCAGCTTAAGCTGATACCGCCCATCAACCGCCCACTTCCCCATCTCCCATTTCCCATCTTAAGCCCCCTTAACCCTCTGGTGCCCCCGATGGCCGACCAGCCACCCCGCCGTCGTCGCCTCACTAAACCCATTAAAACGTCATAATCAACGTAATCATAAAGATAATGCATAACAGAACAGCGGGGGAATTGTTACGCTGGTCAGCCATTTTTTCCGTCTCCCGTTGCTTCTTCCTTTCTCCCGCTTTCTTCCGCCGCCGCCGCTCTTTCTCTCTCATTATTATTTCGCCAGGCTTGGCCACAAAAGGCGACTAAAGCCTGACCTTTGCTTAATTATGGTAATTAGCACACACAAAAAAAATGCCCAAGTCGCGCCAAAGAGGCCAAACCGAACGGAATGGAACGGAACGGCGGAAGAACGGAAGAGGAACGGGGTGGCAATGGGACGGACGGGGATGGGGACAGGACGCAAGGGAAAGAGCGAGGGGAACGCTAAGCATGCACAATTACTGCGCCAGCACACAGAAATTTAAGTTTAACTCATATTTCACATTAGATGAAATTACCCTTTCACATAAATATCAATTAAGTGGCGTGTTTGAATTATTAAAAATAAGAGAGAAGCATTTCACTAAAAAAGACAAATTAATTGGATTTGAAAAGGCTTTCCCCTGACTTTTCGCTCAGTGCCTTGGCTGAATTTAAGCTGGAGCTGCATCTCTGTCCAGTGGACGGGAATGTGGATGTGGATGATGACGTTGACAACGACGAGGATGGACCAAAGCTGCTGTCCTGGTATAAATATTAAAACATAGAAAAACCAGAAGGGCGAACAGAGCGCTGGATGGGTAGCTGCAAAAAAAAAGGGACAAATGAGCAGCAGCCAAAAGCTGAAAGCCGAAAGTGAATTGCTTCCGCATTTTCGTTCGCTTTAAGCGAAACTCAAGTGGCAACCCCCGAAAACCAAGCCCCTCTCCACCGACCAGAGCTTGCAATAATATTTTTTTTTTTTTCTTTATTTATTTATTTAGTGCAGAATCTGTACAGCAAATTAAAGTACTTAACAACACAGGTGTCACCAATGAGAAAAGTAAACCAAACCTCAGCATTAAGAAGAGGATTATATATAGTATTTTCTTATTGATTCCTTATCGTCTTGGCAAAGCCTTGCCTTTTGAGACGCCTCAAAGGTCTCGCTGGGAGTAGATTCCTAGCCAGTAAGCTGCGGTGTCTTTCTAATCTATCTCGGTATCGGCTTGTGTGTCTCCCAATCTGTTCTTCCACAGTGTGTAGATTTAGGTCTCTGTGAAGTGTCGTGCCACGCACATACCAGGGACAGTCAGTAATGGTACGTAGAAACCGATTCTGCAACACTTGTAACCTTTTGTAGTTCGATTTGGCTGCGATCCCCCAAATTTGAATACCATAAAGCCAGATTGGCAGGATACAGAATGCATATACTGCCCTCTTGCATCTCAGCGGCAAAGTGCTCCTTCTGTGTGTAAGCCAACGCAGTTGCTGAATCCTTTGGTTACATTTTTTGACTGTTGCTTTCAGATGTGGTCCGAACGTAAGGCGCTTATCCAGTGTGATACCAAGATATTTTGCTTGCGACGGCTGTTCCAAACTGACTCCCTCTAGCTGGATTTCAGGGGTGTTAGATACAAGTCTCTTCAGTGTAAAGCAGGGGTTCGTAGTTTTTTGCGGATTGATTCTCATATTCCAACGTTTACACCAAGCAGAAAGATCCTTAAGGTATTCTTGTATTCCATTTGCTGCTTCCCTCCGACATCTGGAATTGTAGATGACTGCAATGTCATCTGCATATGTAGCAATCAAAGCTTTGGAAGGATCTATCATGTGATGTCTGTTTGGGCTTGGTATATCCACTGTATATAAAGAGTAAAGCAGCGGCCCAAGCACACTGCCCTGACCTTTGCTTAATTATGGTAATTAGCACACACAAAAAAAATGCCCAAGTCGCGCCAAAGAGGCCAAACCGAACGGAATGGAACGGAACGGCGGAAGAACGGAAGAGGAACGGGGTGGCAATGGGACGGACGGGGATGGGGACAGGACGCAAGGGAAAGAGCGAGGGGAACGCTAAGCATGCACAATTACTGCGCCAGCACACAGAAATTTAAGTTTAACTCATATTTCACATTAGATGAAATTACCCTTTCACATAAATATCAATTAAGTGGCGTGTTTGAATTATTAAAAATAAGAGAGAAGCATTTCACTAAAAAAGACAAATTAATTGGATTTGAAAAGGCTTTCCCCTGACTTTTCGCTCAGTGCCTTGGCTGAATTTAAGCTGGAGCTGCATCTCTGTCCAGTGGACGGGAATGTGGATGTGGATGATGACGTTGACAACGACGAGGATGGACCAAAGCTGCTGTCCTGGTATAAATATTAAAACATAGAAAAACCAGAAGGGCGAACAGAGCGCTGGATGGGTAGCTGCAAAAAAAAAGGGACAAATGAGCAGCAGCCAAAAGCTGAAAGCCGAAAGTGAATTGCTTCCGCATTTTCGTTCGCTTTAAGCGAAACTCAAGTGGCAACCCCCCGAAAACCAAGCCCCTCTCCACCGACCAGAGCTTGCAATAATATTATGCAATATTTGTTTCACTTTGTCCTGGCCATGTTCCATTTTTTTTTTTGTTTTTTTTTGCCCTGCTGCTGCATTTAATTTGCGCATTTCATTTAATTTGCCGTGAATTTGCGGGCCATTCATTTTGTGTTTGTTCAGGACCACGGCGGTGAAGCGGGATGGTCGAAGGGTTGGCGGGTTGAAGGGGGGAACGGGGGGCAGTCGGGGGTTAAGGGGGTTAAGGGGGCGAAGGGGGCCAAGGGGTCCGGTTAAGTGGGGACAACTTCCGTGGCTGTCAAGTTGAGGTGCGCCCTTTGTTGGGCAAATTATTACAGTCTGAAAGTCTGCAGTCTGCAGTTTTAATTTTGCACTGCAGCTTCGCCTTAAAAATTCCGCTGCATACTTTCAGGGGCAAACTTTTTACGAAATTAGCTAAAACAAGAAAGGAAGCTTATACCCTTGCAGTCATCACAAATGTCGAACAAAATGCATAAAGGCTAAACAACATTGAAGTAATGAAGATTTTTCTATTTTTTTTTTCACAGACTGTTCCTATGACAGCTTTATGATATACATAGTTGTCCGGTTTTCATGAATTTAATTAAATTATTTATTTATTAAAAATCAATAAAATAAAATTACTTTAAGAGGCATGCCACTTCACAAACTGAATAAAATTAGAAAGTTATGGACTTACAACTAGTAAATTTTGGAAGATTTTCAGCAGAAAGGTTTTTTTTTATTTATATATTAATACAATTTTGGCAAAATCACTATATTTAAAGTGGTTATAGTGTTGGTTATAGTGGTTGTAATAAGACCAAAAAGCGACCTACAGCGGAACCAAACAGTGTTTAAGCTTCCTTTCTTGTTACGACTTATAACTATCGAATGACACTAACTATCGAAACCAAGTGAGAGCAACCGTTCGCCGTGACAAGTTGAAAATTTGACAATTAGAACTTTTGCGACCACAAGCATTCCTTTTCTGGAAAAAATTGTGCTAGAATTTTCGAAAGCGGTAAGCAATCGTCAGCGAAAGGTAAAAAAAAAACATTTTCGTGGCATCTTAAATTCTAAACCGCAAAGGAGAAGACAGACGCTCGTGCGAAAGCGAAAAGCGAAGGGATCACCAGAAGCTTAAGAGCGTGACTTGCAGAATTCACCAACCGTTCCAACCGAAAGCAGAGGACCAAAGAGTTGACCATGGCCACAATCAAGCGGTTGGGCAAGGAGCGCAAGGCGTGGCGAAGGGATCACCCCAGCGGTTTCGAGGCCCGTCCCACCAAGAAGTCTGATGGCACCCGCAACCTGATGATCTGGGAGTGTGCCATCCCCGGCAAGGAGTCTACACCCTGGCAGGGCGGCCTTTACAAGCTGCGCATGTTCTTCACCATGGGCTATCCTAACTATCCGCCCAAGTGCAAGTTCTACCCGCCGCTGTTCCACCCGAACGTTTATCCCTCGGGAACCGTCTGCATGGGGATGCTCAACGAGGATAAGGACTGGCGCTCCAACACCACCATCAAGGACATCCTGCTGGCTATCCAGGACATGCTCGACGAGCCGAACATCGATGACCCGGCCCAGGCGGAGGCCTACGTCGTCTACACCGAGAACCGTGAGGCGTACGAGAAGCGGGTGCGCGCCCAGGCCCGCGCCAGGGCCCCCAAAGAGTAGTCGGCGTCCTGCGCCTGGTTCCCCATTAAAATATTAATACATTAATACATCAAAACATTAATACATTAATACATCAAAACATTAATACATTATTACAGACATTAATAAACAAACACATCTAGGCGGTCAGCGTTTTCGAGAATGTTCTACACATATATTTACTTGTACTAAATCGACCTTTTGATTCGAGGCTCAGCACACCACTACACACACTATTGTAATTGCTCAGCTTCCAGATATAACATTAAATTCAAGACATGAAACAAGAGTAATAAGTTTTATTAACCCCGGTTGAGGCCCTTGGTGCGTTATTTCCTAAGGGGTTGCGTGGCATTTGGTTAATCACGCCCCTTGCCAACCAGAGATCTTGGCGGAGCACCAGTAATTCTTGAAAACCGGAAGTGCGCTCAAATTCTCAAATTCAACTTTCACTTCTAAGCCTGCTTAACAGATGTTTCCTGACCATTCTTTTCTCTACCCATTTACCCATCGAGAGCAGCGTAAACCACGTTCGGGGATTCATCGAGGAGCAGCAGATTATTCGTCCTGGACAAACAGATTGATTTATAAATTTTTAAGGTTTTATGTTACTTTAGAGATATTCTTTCAAATATAGGATATTTTATTATAAGTATTGATTTATTATTAAATATTGAGTTGAATAAATGAATGAAAGATAATAAATTATTTTTTGTTGGCTTGGGGCGTTTTTATACCCTTGCAGAGCAAAAGGGTATTATAATTTCAGTCAGAAGTTTGCAACGCAGAGAAGGAGACACCTCAGACCCCATAAAGTATATATATTCTTGATCAGCATCACGAGCAGAATCGGAATCCGTCTGTACGTCTGTCCGTCTGTCCGTCTGTCCATCTGTCCGTCTGTCCGTCTGTCCGTTTCCGCGCAAACTAGTCTCTCAGTTTTAAAGCTATCGTGCTGAAACTTTCCCAAAAGTTGTGTAGTTGTTGCACGCAGTATATAAGTCGGAACGAGCCGGATCGGCCGACTATATCGGATAGCTCCAATACAAGGGAATGAAATAAAAAATTCTCACTCTGTTGTTTTTGATCAGATCGACTTGATTTCTTCAAGATGGCGTTTTCAAACTGTTTTTGAATTTCGGATTAAATTTGATCAAAATCGGATAACTCTATCATATAGCTGCCATAGGAGAGATCGAAAAATATATTTAGAACTAATGGAAATAAATTGATAACATCGTTGTTTTTTATCCCACGAGCATGATTTTTTGAATATCAAGTTTTTTAACCACATTTATATTGAGAAAAAAGTTTCATAAAAATCGGACAACTATATCTTATAGGTACCATAGGAAAGATCGAAAAATCTAAATAGAAATAACGGAAATAAAATTATTATATCGTTGTTTTTTATCAGATACGCATGATTTTTGGAATATAAAGTTTTCTAACGACTCTTGAATTACGAATTAAATTTGATCAAAATCGGAAAGCTATATCATATAGCTCCCATAAGATCTATAGTCGAAAATGTGGAAAATGAATAGAAAAATCGTCTTAGCTTCGATGTTGTTTAGCCTTTAAGTATTTTGTTCGACATATTTGATGACTGCAAGGGTATATAAGCTTCGGCTTGCCGAAGCTAGCTTCCTTTCTTGTTGAACATAATGAGTGGTTTATAGAATATCCTCATAAGGAATATCCAACTGCGGAATATGTATATGTTTACCAAGTCCATTTGGACAGCCAAATTGGCAATTTCTAAAAACTAAATACCAGGCGCACAGAAATTTCTAGAAGGTGGAATTTATCAAATTAATTTATAATTATATCCGAGTTTCAAACCCAGTGCTGTTGCAAACTTCTGACTGAATTATAATATCCTCTATTTATAATTGTCATATAAGAAGCTGGATTCTTAAAGGAAGAGAGAAACCTTCAGTGTGTTAGGACTTTAAACAAGTTGTTTTATAGCTGAAACTTTAAGGAACAGTTTTAAATTAATAAGAAATCAGCTTTAAATGAATCAATAGATTTTTAAGTAGGCTCCAGATACAATAAGTATACGTAGTGGTTTTATCGATTTTCAAAGAATGAGTTTTATGGCTCTGAATTAAAACCGAACGCTTATCCCCGATGTGAGCGCTCTCATGAGCTCGTTATTTCTGGGCGATGAACTCCAGCGAAAGGTCAACTGTCTGTGGCCTGCATCAATCTGGTATCAAATGCCGGATCGACTCCTTTGGCCTCATTAAAGCGTTTACCCTCGACGCTCACCCACTTACGAGCACACATACAAACACACACACACACAAACACACAAACACACACACAGAGAGAGAAGAAAAAAGGACAAGACAAGGACTTGGGGCAGTCAGTAATGTGTAATTTATTGCTTCGCTCAAATTGAAACTAAGCGCCATTAAAAAACAATAAACTAAACATGTAATAAATTCAGACCAAACATGCGCGCACACACACGTAGTCACTCATACATACATGGCCTATGTGTTTGCGGGGGCATTGGTATAAGCAAAAAAACACACACAGACACACACACACACACACACACACACTGGTGCAGTGGCGAACAGCAAAAAACTGTGCAAAATAAATTGACCAAATCTGTTGGATAAAAGGATTTGAAAGCAATTAATTGCCAGCGCATAGAAAACATCAAAATACACACACACACACAATCGCAGCTCTAAAACATCGAAAGCAACAAAATAATGGCAACAAGAGAGCTAAATTGCACTTTCCAAATTACCCAAAAGGAGCACGAAATCTGAACTTTGGATTCAATAGAAAAAGGGTCAACCAAATTCGGGAAAAACGTATAAAAGGGAATAACTGCTGCATGGTTAACAACTGCGAGTTAATTGCCGAGTTAAGGGTTTTCCGAGATTTAAAACATAGAGCTATCTGATGTTCATAAGTTTAATCAGTTTATTTTGTGTGTTAGCATAGCAAAGGTTTCAGTTAAATAAGATGTGCTTTGGTATTTCATTTTTAGTTTTTGAAATAATATTCGGTTTTCAGTTGTAATGTGCTATGGTATTTGAAATGGTGTTCAGGGCGGTCGAAGATCCCTTGTGGCCGCGATGCAAGTGGATCAGGGGCTTCTTGTAGGCGATCAGGCGCCACTTGGTGGACCGCTTCTTCCCGATCTTCTTCAGGACACGCTTCAGTTTCTCCTCGCGGAATCCAGTTCGGTCGACCAAGGTGTCAATGCGCTGGAATTGGCTGCCGCGGAAGCCCTTGATCACCTTGCAGATGGCTTCGGTTAGGGTCACCTGAAAGGGGGAAAGGGAGCGGGAAGTGATAAGGACTTGGGATGGAAGATATAGCTACCGAGGACTCCTGATCCTTGGGCGGAGCAAGTCCGGCGCTCTCCATTTCGTAGGCCTTCAGGTAGCTCTTGCTGATGCGCCACTTCGGCTGCTTGACCTTGCCGATCCGCTTGAGGATCTTGTGCAGACAGTCCTTCGAGAGCTTCGTCCGCTCCCTGAGATCCTGCAGGGTCATGTACTTGCGACCCGCGAAGGCAACGCTCACGATGCGATCGGCGTCCTGTTCTCTGGCATTTAACTATGAAAGGGATTGCATATGCAAGGTCAATTAGTTAAATTCCAGATACAAGCATTATAAAAAGCTTACATGTACGTTTTCGTTTTGATATTCCCTTTGATAGGCCTCATAACCCCTTGGATAGTAACCCTGGCGAGGCTGAAATATTGTTATTAGTTAGTGAGCATACCCGAAACCTTATATTCTTACCGGTGGAATGTTTTCGTATGGATAGTCCCGTTGATAGTTCTCGGCGCCCCTGATTGGATGATACATTGGGCGACCCTAAACACTTGTCAGTGTAAAATAAATACATGAAAAACCACAGATGGCTCACCTGTAATTGTCTCTCTCGCATGTTGTACAAGTCCTCCATCGCATAACCCCTGGGATAGTTCTCCACACCCCTCAAGGGATAGTAGTCCTGCTCCAAATACTCCCTCGGGTAGCCCGATCTGAGATGTGAGTCGGAGTACGGCGGCACATAGCTCCGCACAGGATAATGGGCATTGAGCCTCGTGGCCTGATCCGGATGGTAGGACTGGCCCCTCTGCAACTCGAAGTTGCGCAGTTGCACTTGATAGTACTCGTAGTTCCTCTTCGCCTGGGCCGATTCAAAGGTCAAGTTGGGTCTCATCGAGCTCTTCAGCAGAGAGCCATTGCTCCTCGTCGGAAGGTTTGGTCGGGAATACTTTGGCTAAAAAGTGGAATAGCTATTTTCGTTGAGAGAACTTACAAAATGATGTGATAAATTTTATCACCTTCGGTATTTCGGATCCTATCTTGGGGGCAGTCTCGAACGCTGTTGGCCTTGCCTTTGAATTATTGGATTAACATTAAGATTGCAACAAAATATGGATGGAAACTCTTCTTACATATGATACGACTTTGTCGGCCAGCTTGGGGATCTTGTACTGCTGCAATGCCTTGAACTTCGGTTCGTTGTTCCTCATTTCATTCATCAGTTGTTGATGCGCCTTTGCTTTTGCTGCTGCAACCATTTGGGGAATTGGCTTTACACTTGGCCTAGAAATCACAGGTTGGCCGACTTTCCTGTGTGGTTGAGCCATTTCAGAAGTGCTGGGTTTCTCAACCAACCCATCAACTTCAGCGTTCAACGGCTTCGCAATCGGTGTATGTAAGTCTAGGTTGAAAGGCTTATCAGCCGGCTCAGAAATTTTAGATGCAGACGGTTTTTCATCTGGTTTTGAAATTTTAGAGCAGCTGGGCATTATATCCAGCTCAGAATTAATAAAATCACAGGGTTTCCCACAAGAATCAATTGATGGCGTTTTTAAATCTGGTTCATTTGGCTTTTCCAAACATGAAATTGTTTCCGCTATTGGTTCCTGATCAAAATCGCTCTCAGTGTCCGAAACAGTTTCAAAATAATCATCTGTCTTCAAGCTCCCTAGTTTTGCACTTGTTTCGCCATTTTTTGAGCCACAAACTTTCGTATCTGGTTCATTTATCCTTGAACTGGAAGATTTCGCATCTGGTTCGTCAATTTCGGAATCGATGGGTCTCACATTCGGTGAAGAATTTTCAACGCTAGAAGGTTTTACATTTGGTGAGGTATTTTCACGGCAAGGGGTCTTAGCATTCGGTTCAGAGGTTTCTGATTGAGAGGATTTCACATTCGATTCAGAGGTTTTCACATCTGGCCTTGGAAGCTCAGAAATAAAGGGCTTATTTACTTCTGCTTCGATTGCCTTTAGAACTTCAAAAGGATTTTCGACGAGTGGCTTTTCTGGCTTCTCATCGTTAGTTTCTTGCGAGGAGCTGCATTTCAGGAAGAGGTTATCTAGATCCTTCATTACCTGGTTCTGAAATATTATTAATACATACATATAAGGTGATTAGGAAAGACGAGCAAGTACATTATATAATAGTAAAACATTTAAAATATACTCACAACATTATTGTCAAAGTCCTTGGACTTCTGATCGTTGTCACTTTCGCTGTCCGACGAAGAGGACGATGATAAGCACAATGACGGGTAGTTCAATGGTGATTCGGGATGATCAACGGCAACATTAATTGGTTCGTTATCGAAGGGATGCCAAGGAATGGGCGACACAACTGCGATGGTCGCGGAACCCAATTCCCTCAGATGCTGCTCAAAAGTGATAGGTTTATCGTAACTGATTTGCGGTGGCGATGGTGACTCCAATCGGTGTGATTCTCCCAGTTGGGGTCGTGGTGTCACTGGGGGATTTACTTCGGCACTTGGGGCTTCATTTTGTGGCGTCAGTTTCGATTGCTTTGGCCTTGCCTTTGTCCACTTAGCTTTCCGGGATCCACAACGCGAACGGGATCTCGAGGACTTGGAAGTCGAGCTGAAGGACGAGTCGGAAGACGAGTCGAAGGACGAGCCAGAAGATCCAGAAGACGATTCGGATGACGAACCGGAGGAGGAACTGGAAGAAGAGCCGCCGGACGATCTGGAAGAGGAGCTGGAACACGAGCTCGACGACGAGGAAGATAATGAACGATTCGACGTACAAGGCGGCACGGATCGCGATTTCTGCCTTGAGCGCTCTTTCAAGCGCTTAATCGTTTCCTCCAAGCTCTATAACATAAAAGTGTATGCATTTACTATTAAGAGCATATTAAGATTTAAACAATTTTGAATCAAACAAGAAAGGAAGCTAGCTTCGGCAAGCCGAAATTCCAGAGTCAAAAAATTAAGCTGTCTAATGAAAAACAACGATGTTATCATTGTCAAACCCTTGCAGAGGGTATTTTAATTTCAGTCAGAAGTAAGGATGCAGTTGCTTAGGGGGCTATCATTTTGAGGTATACCAATCTGAAATCGGATGTCATTAAAAAAAGTTATGGGCTTTCAAGTGCTGTTTTTAGGTTTTTTAAAATATGGAAAAAATTGCATAAAATCAATTAAAAAAACTTCGTTTAATGTCTCTATCTCGGTAAGTACTGGTCTAAATATGAAATGCCATACACCGATGAATTCGCAATAAAATTCTAAATCAAATGGCATTCACACCTAAAAAATATGAAAGTTGGCCATTTTTTGGTTCACTGCGTTGCAAACTTCTGACTGACCTTGTCGATTGAAAATCTTAACCTTTTTGAATTAGTTTCTTTTAGTTTACTTACCGTAGAGTAGCTTGACTCAGCATTTTGACCCGATATTTTTGGTTTGCCTGATTGCTTGGATACATCCATTTTTTTCGATTTTACTGGTTTTTCTATTTTTTTTTGTTTTTCAGGTTGTACTAGTTTTTCCGAGTTTTTTGGTTCTGATTCTTTAGATTTTTGTTCATTTTCTGGTTGAACCTCAGGAAAATGAGCTCCTTCTTTTTCAGGCGCCATCACATTACTCATGTCTTTTCCTATGGAAGAGCACTTTGCCTTTGCTATGGCATTTTTTTCGACTTTTCCTTTTGAAGGACCCGTCTTGCGATTCGGAGTAAGGAGTTCCACGGGTGTTTGGTCAACAGGCATGCATTTTTTGACGGGACTCAAGGACTCTAGTGCACTTAACTCATTTTCGGGTGCAGCATTTGAGGGTAAAGCATTTGGGGTTAAAGCATTTGGGGTCATAGCTTTTGGGGTCTCAGCACTTGAGGGTGCAGCATCAAAGGTGGCAGTATTTTGGGCGTTTGTGGTTAAGGGTTCCATGGGTGCCTCCTGATTTGGATTTTTGTTATTCTTGGTAACCCTGGGCTTTCTAGGGTTTTTCGGTGGAGCCCTGGGTTTTCTGGGGTTTTTCGGCGGAGCCCTGGGTTTCGGGACACGTGGAGCAGCTTTCCTCGGAACCTTGGCGGGTTTTTCCCCCGAGGGTTCCCCATTACCATCTCCATCTCCACCTCCAGTTGCAGCTGCCTTCCTGCGTCGGGGCGTTGGCTTTGGCTTGATGGTCTTGCCAATCGAATGCACTGGCTGTGTTTCTGCAACAGAAGCTGCTGCAATCGGTGGCTCTGAGCCCGCGGTTTCAACGGGTCTTTCAGCCTCTGTTGGCTTCAGGATTTCACAAATGGCAGCCTGAAAATTAGTGACCTTATAGCCTTCATTTGTGTGTTGTTGTTGTTTAAGGTTACCTGGGAAGTATGGGGCTCTGATGGCTGCACAGGCAAAACAGTCTTGGTTTCCTTCTTTTTCCTGGGCACCGGAGCCTTCCTCGGTTTCTTAGGCGCCATGCTCTCCCTCTCCTTCTTGGCGGCTTCCCTCAACATCTGGCCAATACTGGGCTTCTGGCCAGCCCTGATCGTCCTCTTCTTCGGCGGAGCTTTGGGCTTGATGACTTTTCCAATCGGCAACTTTCCACCGGGTTGAGAAGCGGGCTTGCCAATACTTGCTACACCTAGAGGAAGATCTAAAGGATATTTATTGTAAGTATAGGATTGTAAAATAAACGCAGCTTTACGTGGCTGAGTCAAACTGTCACTTGTTGTAGTCGAGCTGTCAAACTCAATTTGATTGCTCTCGAGATTAATCTGCTTGATTATAATATCGATTGCCTCATTGTTTTCAATGTCCACCGGCTGGGCTAAAATATCGAGTGCGTAAGCTGGTGGAAAAGCTGATCCGATGGGCTCCGTTATCGATATAATGGTTTGGGTGCTCTGCGTTTTTGTCGGCTCCTCGGCTTCTAACGGCTGCTCCTCTTTCACAGGACTCTTCAATAGCTCATCCAAATCTTTGACGATGGATTCGCCGGTCACCGGAGGAATATCCTCCATTATCGGCATTATCAGCTCAGTCTGCCAATTAGAATTGACATTTATAAAATCGCAATAAAATCCCAAAGAGGGACATGAAATTCAAGAACCTACATCAAAATCAAAATCAGCTGGAGAAATTGATTCCGATGAATCTTTTTCCTTATCCGCCAATTTCGAAATTTGAGGGTCTTCAACCAATTCAGGAATTGGAGAGACTTCCACCAATTTAGGAATTGGAGGGTCTTCCACCAATTTAGGAATTGGAGCGACTTCCACCAATTTAGGAATTGGAGCGACTTCCACTATTTTCTCTGTTTGCGGTTCCTCTGCCAATTTCTTCAATGGAAAAACCTCTTCTTTCTCAGTCTTGGGCATTTGAAGATTTTCCAAAATTTGGTTCACTGAAAGGACTTCCACAATTTTCGGCATTGAGGGAATGCCCGACATTGTTTCTTTTTGCTGTTTTTTTGGCTCTTTCTCCAATGGAGGAACCACTACCTTCTCAGTCGGAATCTTGTTTTCAGAAGGCTGAGCAGCCGTATTCAAAGTTTCCCCGTATCCAATGGAGGCCCAGTCGAAGTCAAAGTCCACAGTACTCGAAGGCACCTTCTGCAAATCCTTTGCAGTAGAAATAGTACTTCGAAGTACCTGAAATCGTTGAGTAAACACATACCTGATAGGATTCTGTTGATGTGTTATATTGGACGTGCTTCGAGAAGAACTCGATCAGCATGGAGTCCATCTCACCAGTGACGAAATTCCCAGACCGAATGTTAGACGAAGAACCTTCGAAATCGAAGTCGAAGTCAAAGCCTAACACATTGTTATTACCAGCCTTCAAGAATATAATTTAGGTATTATTATTTCCATAAAGAAATTTACGCGGAATTTAAATTGCGCGATATTTAAATTTATGTAGCTATAGGTATTGGTTCCTAATTTAATGTTAATGACTTAGTATTATATAATATTAAGGTTGGTATTTACATATACGATTGCTTATATTTTTACTGTGTGGTAGATTTTTCTATTTTTTAGGAAGTAAATTTTTAAATGAGGCAATTTCAGTTAATGTTTGCTTAAGAAGTTTCGATCTCTCTTGAATATTGAATTTTAATACATTTTCTAATTGGCTTGTTTGGTTAAAAGTATTTTCAAATAATTGCAGCTTTACTTGCCTGATTCTGCGTAGCTTTCGATGTGGAAGGCACATTCATATCCGCAGGCGCTGTGGTGCCGATCTTCTGGGGTTTATTTTGAAGTTTTTGTATTTTTTGAGATATTTTTGAACTATCCGGAAAATACACATATACGTT